GCTTGCACTTGGACTGCGCGCTCGGAGTTCGTTTTCAGTGTGGAGGGCAGTGTAAGGCCGTGCAGGGAACAGAGCTGTGCTGCCCAGTGTGGTCACCTCCATCTCTCACTGCTTCCACAGGGCCTCCGGAGGTAGCCAGGGTGGGAAGAGCCATTACCCCCATTTTACAGAGGGGAAAATCTGAAGCTCAGGGGTGTTCGTGTCTTAACTAGTCCTGGGACCAGCTCCTAGGAAGGTCTTAAGCCAAGCTGCTCACCTGAAATATTTTCACTTTCTAAGCACATTGGGTACTGCAAATGCAGGCTGTGGCGAGTGTCTCTGCCCACAGTAGCTGTGATTAACTAGTGTCTACCTCTTCTCAGAGGCATTGGATCTTATGGGGGGGGGGCTACCTGGACCACAGAGGAAAGGGGACTGAGTTCCCTCTCCTTTCCTTCCTCCCCTTCCTCCCTTCCGTCCTTCCACCCACTCAGGGGGCTGTGGACAGGAGTGGAGTTGGGTGTGATGTTTCCTATAATTCATCTCGGCCACTCTATTCACGTAGCTGCAACTGGGCAGAGGCCAAGGAGCCAAGGGTTTCTGGGGACATAGGCAGTGGGGGCCTTGGCAAGGTCTGAGAGGAGGCTGAGGCCTGCGGGACATTTTTCTGTCACTAAGTGCTGGACGATGGGATTGGACTCCAGCGTCACCTCTGTGACTATTGGGATCACCCCTCTTTTACATGCTCAGGGAGGCGAAGGCACTTTGCTGGGGCCTGGAGCTGGTGGGCAGTTGGGGTCTGGGTCTCTGCCGGACCTGTGTGAACTCACCGCTTCTCCCTACTTGGCTCCTGGTGCCAGAACGGCTGTGAATTGGGAGACAAAGCAGGATCCCTCCGCACCATCTTCAGCATTTAAATGGATAACCTTAGTCACCGTGGTACTGAAGTTTAGTGACCAAGCCCCTCCCTGAGGAGCGAGGGTTTGCACTCTTGTCCCCAGCGTGTGCCCTTAGCCCTTCACAGAGGCCCAGCCCTCCCTTTAGAGGGGTAGCCTACAGGTCATTCTGAGGGAATAAGAATCAGGCCAGTATCTCCCGGTCCTTTCCCCTCCCCCCAACCCCAAGCCTGGAACCATTTCCAAAGTCGCATTTCCAAGGATTGACCCGATTCTTTTTCCAGCCGCAGAGAAACAACATCCCATGGGATGCTTGCATGTGCCTGCCGCACGGCCGCCCCTGGACTCCTGGCAGGAGAGGGGAAGAGGGTTTCAGAACCTCCCCTGGGCTCGGCCTCCTCCTTTTCCTCCCTCTGCCTCTCCGGCACCCCCTTCCTTGCCTTTCTCGTCCCACCAGTTTCCAAAGGGCAGCGGGTGTTTACACTCAGAGTCAGACTGGGATGCCTCTGGGGTCAGAAGCCTGATTCATTGTAGGGAGGCACCCAGGCCTGGCCCCCAACCTGGCCCCCATGAAGCAACCCCAAGCTTGGCCACGGGTGAGGAGATCAAGGCTTGGAAACATCACCGAACCCCACCTCCCCTGCCAGTAACTGCTTCCACAATCCCCAGTCTCCCCAGAATCCCTGCGTCCAGACCCTTCCTCCCTAACAAAGGCTCTCTCCTCAACTCAATAGCTGTCAGACTGAGGGTGAAGGCTGTGAAGAGGGGACCCCATAATCCACTTCACTTCACCCCCAATTTAAGACTTTTCTGACCTACCTGAAGCAACATCCCTTGCCAAATAGCTAGTGATTTCTATTCATCACCCTTCACCCCGCTACCGGGAGGAGCAACTTCTTTTCACTCTTTTCAGAGGAGGAGCCAGGAGGCAGAGGAAAACCAAGAGTTTGCATCTTCTGGGTGACTAGGGGTTGGGTGTTCAAAGGCTCTGGAAGTGATTCCCAGGATGCCAGTAGGAGAAGGGGTAGCAGCCTCCCCCCTCTTTTACTCCACGCCCTCCACCCACTGAGTCCCCCCTTCAGAATCCAGAAGGAGTTAATACTTCAACAGTCACTCCCCTCCTTCACCTGGAGGCGCCCAAGAGGCACTTCCAGTCTCCAGTCCGTCCAGTCCGGAAGCCCAGTCCACACGGGGTCTCGGGCTGTCTGTGGGGCACGCTGGCCCCCGGGCAGCCCCTCCCGACCCCTGCAGCCCCACCTCGGCGCGTCTGCCCCGGCAAGTGCCCCCGCAAGTGCCCCGAAAAGTCTCCCGGCCCCGCCTGACCCAGACACACTGATAAGCCCCCAGACAGCTAAACATTGTTAACTTCTTTGCCTTTCTCGACTTCTCTCCCTGTCCTTTCCCCGACCCCGACCCCGGGGCTGAGGGTCGCTCGGTGTGTGTCTGTACTTCTCCCAGGTGATGTACTCCGGACCTCCTTGCCTGAGGCCTTTGGCCTCACACCCCCTCCCCCACCCTCATGCTTCCAGATGGGGGGCCCACTCTCTGGGACACTGGGTTGGTCCAAACGCAGTGTTCCCTCCTCCCCGACCCCACCACAACTCACCTTGCCCACGCAGTCTCTGCCTTAGAAGAGCTACGGGAAACAGTACACAATTAAGAGAGAGAGAGAGAGAGAGAAAGGGGAAGCCAAAGAATGTCAACAACGATTTCAGGAATTGAAGCTTGAAACTCTTCTCAGCTGAACGCTGAATAGGGAGGGAGCAGGGTGTCCCCTGGAGCTGCACAGCCAAATGGTGTTCTCGGCTTCTCGTTTCCTAGTGCTTTTTAAAGTCTTTCTCGTGCATAAAAAAGGGCTCAGACTGACAGGAGACAGTGTCTACCCTCAAACACCCGGCGGCAGGGAGAGCCCAGGATGATTGTGGTTTTCCCTTGGTGTCGTGGAGGGTGGACGAAGCCCGAGTGGGTCATGGCCCCAGGTTCGCAGACCATCTGTCCAGGGTGGAGAGAGCCACCGTCGTTAGAAAGCTGACCAGCCCGGCTGCAGCTGCTCGCCCCAGGCGCCCCCACTGCCCCAGGCGACACTGGTTCTGCCCTCAGACCCTTCCCCAGTGCGTCCCTCCCCACCCTTTCTCCCAGGAAAGAAGAGGTTCCTGGGAAAGCCCTTGGAAGGGGGGCTCCGACTGAAGTGACAGGGTGGGGGTCTGGGAAGTGACATCCCCAGGGGACAGCAGGCTGTTCCGTGTGGAGGGGTGGGGTGGTGGGGGTGGGCAGGGACCCCCTTCCTTTCTGGAGCTGAGATCTTAAGCCCAAGTGTGTGGTTTACATTAATTCAAGCAATTTTTTAAAAGACTTTATTTATTTATATTTAAAAAGAGGAAGGGAGGGGGAAAGAGAGGGAGAGAAACATCAAAGTGCGGTTGCCTCTCACGTGGCCCCCACTGAGGACCTGGCCTGCAACCCAGGCGTGTGCCCTGACTGGGAATTGAACTGGCGACCCTTTGGTTCACAGGCCAGTGCTCAACCCCCTGAGCCACACCAGTTCAGGACTAATTCAAGCAATTTTTTAGATAAGTTGGAACTTTTTCTCCCCTGAAATAACAATAATGGGTGGGACCAAAATGTTAAATAACATTTGATTAGAAGTCAGGTGAGGCAGCTCCTTGGGCCTCTCCTGGGAAAGAGGCCTTTGGCCAAGGAGGACGAGGAGGCGGAGGAGGAGGAGAAGTTATCTGAGTACTTTAAAAAAAAATCTCTAAAATTTGATTAACCAAATCTGGACCTGACTTTCAACAGCTCTGAGGAGATAAAAATAACAAAACCTTGGAGAAATATACCTCATTTTGCAAACCTTCAACACTGCCCTGAGCCATTTGATGAGACTGAAGTCCCCTTTCAAACTGCTAGCACGTTCTCGGCGCAAAGCAAACACTCAGTAAATGCTGGCAGCGTCTTCTCTCTCGGATGGACCTGGATCCTAATGATGGAACCGGGCAGGGCGAGGATTCCTTCTTGACCTTCCCTCTAAAGGTCTGCCTGCGTGTCTGCCCAGTTTCTTGGATGGGATCTCAGGCACAGTTAAATGGATGCAAACCATTCTGTCTTCCAAAGAATTCTTGGAAGCGCTGGCGATGGCTCATTTTGTGCTGTTGAAAGGCGCGGCGTTGGTGAGCGAGCCGGGGACCGCAGAGCACCGCTCCCACTGGAGTTCTGGGCGGCAGGATTGGGGTGGGGGGGGACGGCCCACCGAGCCTGGGGACCTAGCCCTGAAGGGCGCCTCTGGGGAGAGGGAGAGGCGGCTTCTGCGGCCACTGCGATCCCTCGGACTCCGACGCCCCCGACTCCTCCTCGGTCGCCTCCCTTGTCCCGCAACTCCGGCCCCACCGACCCTCTCTCGCCGTCCCTCTCCTACGTACCCTCGTTCTCAGAGGACACATCAGCGCGTGCCCCCCACTGGGTCCCGGCAGCCGCCCGGGGCGGCGGCCGCTCTCTACCAGTTCCCCGGGAACTGGAGGCCGAGAGGACAGAGGCCAGTCTCTGCCGCGGTGCAAGTTCAGGATCTCCAGACACGCATCCGCCGGGTGGCTGGAGGGGCCTGATCTAAACCCCACCCCGAGGTGCTAGTGTTTCAGAAGCTCAGGCTCTTGGGTGAGGGCCTGCTGACCGCGGCGGGCTTCCCCGGGGCCTGAGACTTCGAGCCAAAGGGGCTGTGGGCTGCGGGGCCGGGGCTCTCAGCCCCGCGGCGCCGAAGCCCTTTTGCACCAAGTCCGACCTGAGGGTTTCCTGTGTCCTCTAACCCAGAGGCGAGTCGGAGAACGTGAGGACATGGTTAAGAAAAAACAAATCTCTCCCCGTATCCCAATAAAGATGGAGTTCCTCCAAAAAGGCGATCGCCCGAGCTCCGCACTCCATCCCCTCCACTCTGTACGGGAAGAACTGTGGGAAACTCCCAAACACACAGGCGTTTAAATGCTCAACCCTCCCTTACGCGGGCAATCCTATCGACCAAACAAAACCACAATCTCAGGTTTTATAAAATATGAAAAAAATTAATGGGAAACTAGAGCTACAGGAACCAATAGAAAAATGGGAGGACATAAACAGACAGTTCTCTGAAAAAGGACTTACAGATTGCTGTCAACGCCATGGAAATAGGTTCAACCTCAAAGAATATTAAAAATGCACAAGGCTTTCGATACGGACCATTCCTACGATGATGCCATACAGAGGTACCTGCATATATGCACAGAGCAGTGTAGCCTGCATGCAACAGCAGATAAAGAGGGAGAGAAATTTGGAAACAATCTAACTGTCTATCAGTGGTTGCCTGGTTAAATAAATTATGGCACAGCAATACGATAAAGTAGTCGTTTAAAAAAAGGAAGCATTAGTAATAATACAAAACCAACAATATGTTCTTTTTTAAAAAAGAAAAGGGAAGACACAGAGCTGTGTGTGCGGTGCGCCGCCGCGGTGTCAAGGGTGGCGTTTGTCGGGATGCAAACTCTGGGTGCCGTGGGTGCTGTCCGGCGGGGAACAGGGGTAAGTGGCAGAAGGAAGCACCTACTTTCCAACGTACGTCCCTTCGTAACTTTTGAATTTTTCCTTTAGCATAACTTTTGTATTTTTTAAAAGATTAAAATCTGGGAATGATTATTCTAAAAGTGTTATTTTCGTTATATAGGCAATGAAAGCTTATGAAAAATGCTTGTAAGCAGAAAAAAGGAAAACCGTATTTCTGCTTATTCAGGCCTGATCTTCACCGTCTTTAGAACGACTAGAAGGTAGACTTCCCCCGGATAATGAGAAGTAATAAAAATCAGACTGACGTAATTTGTTTTTAAAAAAATAAATAGAAAGTATTTTTTTCTAAAGCAAATTTGCGAAGTTTAAATTCGAGTTCTGAAGTTCGATCAGAACGGAGTCGATAATCCGGGTAAGAAGACTCATTCCAGGGGGGAAATAGAAGGAACTCTTTTAGCTCCCAGACCAGGTCTGTGCAACGGAGACGGACTGAAGAGGGAGAAGGGGAATGGTTTGCACCATTCCGACCAAAAATTAAGTCACTCTCGGTTCCTTTTCCAGTTGAAATGTATGTATTGTTGCGGGGTTTCCGAGCTGTCCTCGGGGTCAGCTCGGCTCGCTGGATCTTGGACGGTTTCTCCCGGCCCGGCGGAGCCCACTCTGGGAGATACCGTTTCCGCCGCCACTTGGGCAAGGAGTCGCAGACGCCAGCTGGGGGTGCCCGGGAGATGGCGCCTCTGGAGGAACCTGGGGGCATCCAGGATGGAGCCCGGGCCGAAAGAAGTAGCATGCACTGTATCCGCGATGGGAATCAGTGCTCCCGGAGGGAAATGCCTCCCTCTGCGCCCCTCTGCCGTCTCCCAGTGTCAAGGTGAGAATTGTGGGCAGGGACCCAGGAGCCCCCGGCTCCCCGACCCGCCCCGACTGCTGGGGCCTGCTCGGGCAATCTCACCCCGGCGCTGTTCTCGGTGAACACACTGTGCTGGTTAGCCCAGGGCTTGGTGAGGTGTCCCGCAGGCCTGAAGTTCTCACCGCCCCGCACTGGGCTGCGCCTCTGACCCCAACCCCAACCCCAACAACACAGAAAACATGGGGCAAAAGCAGTCATCTGCTTTCTGTGGGCCCCCAGCTCCCCCCCCATTTCGGTTAGGGTGGCTCCGAGCGCTTGCTGTGGGTGTCCCTGCAGCGACCAGCAGCAGGCTCCCACTCGCGCAGGGGAAACGTGGACCAGGGGTTAAGACCCCTCCCCACGGCTTTGCCCCAGTCTTCCCTTTCCCGCCTCCACCAGCCTCTCCGTATTTTCTGAGTCTCCCTGGCTAAAAATATAGGGAAACTGAGGCACGGAAAGATGAAAGAGATACATTGGAATTAGGTTAAAAAGGAGGTTGGGTGGGTGGTTTCTTGGTCAGAAGGATCCTTGGCAATCTTGGAGGATGCATTGTGCGGAGAGGAAACACGGGTCAGGGTGGCTCAAGTTGGGGTCGGGAAGATTGGGGTTCGGAGAGGGAGTGCTGGAGGACAGGGGGACCCCACCTTCCAGGCGCCCCACGAAGAGCTCTGGGGAGAAGGTCTCTGACTTGAGAGCCGCCAGCCAACCTCCCAGACTGCCGGCACCTCCTCCAACAGCGGCCTCTCAGAGGCCGAAGTGACTCAAATAACCGGACTGGATTTATCCTCAAACCAGCAATTTCCTCCCCGTTCCTCCTTTCTCTCCCTTCCTGGGGATTCTGCTACCCATTTGTCAGTTCCCTCCGAAGAAACTGTTAAAATGGAAACATCCTTGTCTGCCCAGCAGGGCCCTTGGAATCTTATTCCTCGGTCACCCCTCCCCCAGCTGCGTTCCACTTGAGTTGTGTGGCTAAAATGGGGGGAGGGGGGCTTGGAATCTGAGTGTTTGCCCCAAATCTCCCGCTTTCTTTGTGTAAATGTGGTTGCGGCTCTGGCTCTGTCACACCAAGCAAGAGGAGATGACCAAGAGTAAGATTAATAAAAATATTAAAACAAAAACGCATTGGCTTTTCGGGACTCAAAAATTGTGGGTGGGTCTCTCTGGTTCTACTTCCAACTTATAACCTGATCAAGGAGATAAGATTAGAATTGCTAAAACTTCAGGATCACTCTAAGTTGTTTTGTTTGTAAACAACAACCCAGAATACTTTCCAATATTCTATCAAGTAAAGGTGGGAGGTGCCCCCTGGCCCCGCCCCTCCATGGGGATGGGGGACAGGGCAATCTACTCACAGATAAGAGCAAAGGGCCCCCCCCTCCACCACCAAATCCCCAGGAGCTGACAACTCAGGTCAAGTGCAGATTCCAGCCAATCAACTATTGTTTGGTCAAAGAAAAGCCAAACAGTGGCTCTGGCTGATTTCTCCTGAAATTGGCTGAGCTGGCTGGTTATTTTGGCATCTCCGAAAAGCCAACCTGGGCAGGTGCTGAGCTGGGCGATGTGCATCTGTGTCAACACGGGCTCTGGATGATCCCAGCCCCTGCCGCCCTCCCGTCCAGCTGGCCAGGACTTCCCTTCTGCGCTGCATGCACGGGCGCACTGAGTTCCCTAATTTCTTCAACTCCGATTTCCACCCCTCTTCGCTTCTCTGTGTGTGCTCCCACCTCTCTGTCTGTCACGGATTGCCTTAGTTTCTCCTGGGTTCAGGGGCATGGTTCCTCTGGACTCAGTCCCACAGCTCTGGGGAAGGAATTAAGGACTCACGGGGTAATTGGCTCATCCAAGGGCTAGGTCAGAGCATCTGTGTGAGAGGGTGCCACTGCTGGCTGCGTTCCGTCAGCCCGCCCTTCTGCAGGCGGTGCTTGTGGGAACTGGCTCAGAAGCCTTGTGAAGCGAATACGTTTGTCTCCGTGGGGAGGGTGACCTGCCACCATATGTATATTAAATTCCCACATCCTCTGAAGGTGTCACTGCTCGAAAAATCTTTTCCCTCCCTAAAAGGAAAATTCAAGTAGGCGAGAAGGAAGAGAGGATGTAATTTTGTTCCAGTTTGCGGCCTTGTTGGTCTGGCCATGAGTGGAAAAAAAATTCCAGGCCGACACTCAAGTGGAGACAGACTTTACCTGCTACTTTGGGAGGACCTGGGGGGCTTTGCGCACCAGCCAGGGTAGAACCACGGGGTCCGGAGGGAGCTGCAGGGTATTTCAAATACAGCTACCCTTTGACCAAAAAGTAAGTCAATACATTTTGGCATCCGAATCAAGGTAGGAAATTAAAGGAGTCCAAAGGGGAAAAAAACCCAGGCAGAAAAAAAGATGGGGAAGGCCTTTCTTAGCTGGAAACGGGCCTCTTGCTAGAATCTTTCACACCCAAGCCAGGGGCCAAACAAAAGACTAAAATAAAACAAGCCTTCCTGCTGTCCTTTCTCAAGTCCGCCCCTCCTTTCTTCCTCCAAAATACCCACACTCCTCTCTGCAACAGAACCTGGGCACAGTGCTGTTCTCCACCCCTTGTCCAGTTAAACCCTGGATGGGGGGGCGGGGGAGGGTTCAAAGTTGGCTTTGGATCCCCGCAGCCGCTCTCCCCCCTCCCAACCCCCCACTCTGAACTCCCCCCTCCCAACACCCTACTTGGTCTGGGGAAGGAGCTTGGCAAGAAGGTGTCGCTGCCCAGAGTGCCCACCCTGCACCCCCCCCCCCACTGTATCTCCAGGTTCTCTTTGACCAAGCAGCTTTGGGTCCCCAGCCCCACTATCTCAAAAAGGTTTTTAACAGTGTAGACTCCTTGATGCCTTGGACCAGCCCTGCAGGGCTAATGGAGCCTGTACTCATTCTGGGAAGGAACCTGTTTTGGGGACGTGGGGTGTGGAGTGAGGAGGGACTTTTCATCAGACAGAAGGGCGTATAAAGCCCAAATGAGAGCAGCTCCATGCTGCACAGCAGGTGAGACTGAATGTCAGAGGCCCCGGGGAGAAGAAGGGGGGATGGCTGCCAGGTCGGCTGAAGGAAAGTTCAGCCTATATGTCTGTTCTGCTACCAGATGGCTTTGCATGTCCTTGGCAGATAGTGCAAAACAAGTGACTAAATATATATAAATGCGTGTGTGTATAAAACACCACGTTCCTAAGAAAGAAATCAGCAGTTGAGAAAACAAGATCCAATCTCTCCATACCTTACAGAGCTCTCTATAAGCTAGGGTCACGCACATTTCACCCCAAGACCTTTGAAGGGTAAAGAGACGTTTTGTGCAAGTCCCTGGAGAGGATCACACGCGGCCCGTTGTGTCACTCAGGATGGGCTTCCTGCAATTCAGTTTATGAAGGCACATTGCATTTCGTACATGAGTCACCTTGAATAACCCAATAATGAATTAAAACCATGTTCTGCAGGGAAGGATTTATTACACTGGCTGGCTTTTTAGGAGCTAGGTATAGTTGGGAAATGAAAAATGTGAGGACGTCAGTGGTGTCTGCACTGCATTCTGTACTGACTCACGGAGACCCCTCCTCGCTGGCTCCCGGAGAGCACCGACCTGGTGGCAGTGGGGTCGGGTTGGAAGGGCAGGGCCAATCAATGTATTCTGCCAGCCTGGACCCTGACCTTCAGTTTCTGCACCAGGGCCCAGCCAGCGTTTCCTGGAGCTCCTCCTGGAGACAAGCTGGGGCTTTGGGGTGGTTGATGCACCGCAGCTGGGAGCCCTGGAAAGAGGGGAAGGGGAAGGAGAGAGGGGAAGGGGTTCAGGGATGATACGAAAATCCTGGCTCCTTGGCAGTTTCTGGGAAAGAAGAGAGGGCCTCCTGGTATTCCTCTCCATGCCAGGAGGTCACAGCGTCTCTCTCTGGGCACCACCAAGCACAGGCCTCTCCTTAGTTTGGGAGCGGGGTTTGTGGGGGGACCCCTGGCATAGATAGGAGGCCGGAACAAGGTGGTGGGCTGACTCCTCTTCCCCCGGGAGAAATCCTCACCTTCTCCTAGGACACAGAGAGAAACAACCTGTTAGTGACACGTGTGTTGTGCTTTTCACAGAGTCTTCGCCTCCCTCATCTTTGTCTATCTCTGAGATCTGCCCTGGGTGGAAGGCTGGGCGGGGATGATCACTTCCATTGTACGGATGAAGAGGGTCCTGGGGCCGAAAGACGACCAGTTGGCACAGTGGGCCAGAGCGGGGGCAGAAGTCCCAGCTCCCCGTGTCCGTCATGACCTAGAAACAGGGAGGGGTAAGAGACGGCAAGGCTAGTCTGGCTACTCTGTGTTGGAAACAGACCGCGCTCTTTGGCTCCCTGGGGAAGTGTGGGGGCCTCTGGGGGCGTCTCCAAAGAGGGGATTGGACAGTCCTGCCCCGAGGGCAGCG